ATCGTTGGGCGCCCGGGGAGCAGTGTGGGGTTAAGGGTCTTGCTCAGGGACCCAGAGTGACAGTCTGTGGGAGTGGGGCTCAAACTCAGAAACTCTAGATTCCAAGCTCTATGCCCTAACCACTAGGCGCCCACTCCCCCAACATCTGTGCAGGAATACATTTTATTTTGGTCAGAAGTTGATGCCCTCTCAGCAGAGATGGCAAAAGTACTCACTTTCCGTACTTGAGTAAAAGTACAGATACTTGTGTTAAAAAATACTCTGGTAAAAGTGGAAGTACTGATTAAACTTCTTTACTCAAGTAAAAGTAACAAAGTACAGGCTTGTAAGTTTACTTAAAGTATAAAAGTAAAAGTAGAAACCACTTTTTTCATGCCGTTGCCTACATTTTAAATGGATGTCTGCCAATAGGACTAGATCTCCGTTGTGTTCATTTTCAATCATCTCGTCGTCCATGCTACTATGCTAACGCCACCGCCACCAAGCTGCAATGATTTGCCGCCAATGAATACCGCCGAATCTGTCGATTCATCTTGTAGTGGTGCGTCAAATGCAACGTAGATTCCCATCCAATTAGATTGAATTTGGTATTGATGACGTGAAAAATAATAACGGTAACTCCATTGAAATGATTCAAAACTAAAGTAACGAGACAATTTTTTAAAATGTAAGGAGTAGAAAGTACAGATATTTGTGTAAAAATGTAAGGAGTAGAAGTAAAAAGTCACCATAAAAATAAGTAGTAAAGTAAAGTAAAAATATCAGAAAAATCTACTTGAGTACAGTAACGAAGTATTTGTACTTCGTTACTTCCCATCTCTGCCTCTCAGTAAATTACTCTGTAGGTTTTCTTCCTGTATACAGAACCGCTATAGTATTAACCAGAGGAATATGGCTTATAGCTTCGGCAAACCCAAAATTTCAGATTCTTTAAGATTTGAGGGTTACACAAAACCAATAAAAAAACATTTAAATACAGAAATGTTACATTATTGCCTCCACAATTATGGGTTAGACTGCTGAATTGACAGAGGTTCAGCAATTGGCAGTCACTCCTCTTGCATGTCACAAAAGGCTGTTGATAAAAAGATGTCTGTTTTAAGATTGGTGCATTAAAGGTATTTTAATGAAAAAGTTGGCAGGAGGGAGAAATCGGCTGAAAAAGGTTCACAAGCTACAGAGATAATCTTAGTCATCAGATGATGAAGCAAAGTTCATGGAAGAGTTAAAGGGAGAGCCAAAAGCTATTAACTGCAGCTGGAGTCAAAAGCTGTGTTTCCTTCCAAATGTCATTTACCATTTGAGAAAATTTTTAAATATTGAAAAAATGAAAATGAAAATTAGATGCTCTTCTCTCAAATGGAGAGAATTAACCAAGCGATCCAAAGGATAATGCTGTGATGGATTTAGGTTCGATTTGATCAAATGATGAAGTTTTATGGGTTCGGGTTTTCTATAACGGGAGGAACTCAATGAGCAATGCCCCTTAGTCTATTTCTCCTTTGTTTTGAAAAGCTTAGAAGCAATTGCGTTGTTTTTTTCCTGACATCAATAATTACACAAATTCCACATTTTATACTGTTGATTGTTGTCCGTTCCTCAGGGCAGCACCTTCCCTTACCTGTTAATACTGGTAGGTGATCTATACAATCATGGATCTTGGAGTTGCTGGTCTTTATATCCTCCCTTGGAAGACCTAGCTACCCTGTTTTACTCTTGCTTTTATATAATTTTCATGGTTCCAACAATACAGTTTGAATTTCATAAATTTTTAAATTTTGTCTCAGTTTTTTGAGACAGCTTTGCTTTGAGATTAAACTAGATTAAGAAAAAAATATAAAATCAACTTTAAAAGTGCTAATTTAATTAAAGGCCAAGGTTTACAACAATGTATTACATTTTTTCATCATGTAACAAGCAGAATAAAACTTGCAGGAAACACTTCTCTCACTTTCATTCAATTGCTATACTTTATTTTTTTTAGATGAGATGCCTTATTTGGCCATTATTTTTAAAGCAAATACAGCTTTATTTTTGTATTGCTACCAGCTATGCATAACTGATACATGAGTATTAACATAAATTTCAGGCGGAAACAAAATGTAGAAAAATTAACATTGACCAAATTTCTACCCCTGATCTGGCAACATATCCCCGGAGACATTTACTAACAGAAATGGGACATTTTTTGTTAATCAAAATGTTCACAAAAATGCCGTAATTCATTTTACAATCTTCTTCTGATTTATAAAAAAACGAGTAAGGCTGATATATGATTATGTTTGGTCAACTAAGCAGGGACCCCACTGCCATCACTGATAATATAATTAACCTATAACAAAATTATGTTACCTAGATTATAATGATACACAAATCTTTTTATAACAGCCAACTTGATGGGTAAAGGCTTGCAGATCACCCACTACGAAATCCTCAAAAGCTTTATGTATAACTAAACTCGTGCACATGGCTTAAGTTTTAAATTATCTGGGGAACTGAATTAGAGGTTTGTATTAGCTGTATGCAATAAGAAAATTCATTACCAAAAATAACAGAAATAAATCCCCCAAAACGTGAATCCTTTTTACGTAACTAAGTAAATTTCATTGTGTTCATTTTTTTTATTATTATTTCTGGTGGACTTCTGGATTTTGTTATCAGCATCATCTATGTGTTTGGTTTAACTACTACTCCCTCAGAGCTTCACTGCAAAAAAACAATGTAGTAAAACAGAACATATATTAGCTTGAATAACTGTAGTTAATCTGGTCTCTGAATACCTTAATCAAAAGATCTATCTACTTTTCAAACTTAGAACTGAGGTTTAAGGTTACTTTGAATTTCATGTCACTCCTGAATGAAAGTTCCAACTGCAGACTTTAATGGAACACATAGGCAGCAACATGTATTCTTTTATTCACTGACCTTCACTAAATCACAGTAGATTTGTTCCTATTACTCTTGTAAGTATACAAGCATCTGGCTTTAAACTAGCTGAATCTGTCTGGTCTGGTCATGAGTGAAAAAGCCTTCAGCCTCCACTCTTTGTTTAAGTTCACTTCTGTGCAGCATCTCAATTTTGTACAACTTCCTCTCGCTAAAACCATTGATTCAATACAACCAGAACCTTCTGTAACCTTATGATACCAGATTGGACAAAACCTAGGAGTCAGAAATCACCAGTGGAAATATCCTGCTTTATACATACAGCTGATTACTGTCTGTGAAAATGTCAAAACGTCTTTTTCAATCAGGGTTCAGTGTGTCGAACCACCGCATTCAGCTACCTGCATAATGTGGTGTCAGTATCTCATTAAGTGACAGAAGCTTTCTGTTTCATTGCCTTGAGGCAAGACTTCATCCGTCCATCTCTTCTCCTCTGTCTCTTACTCAGAGGCTTCTGGCTCATTAACCACCATCAGCATTTCGTTTGCAGCCTGTTATTTGGATGTAAGAGGGAAGCAGGTCTGTAAGAGTGTAAGGGTATGCGTTTGCATTCACTTATGTGGAAGCCAGCAACTCTCATTAGGCTGAAAAAACATTGACAATGTTGCCAGAATCCAGATCATATCCTCTCCCTCTTTAAATATCAAAGGCTTCCTCCAATCAACTCCCTGGTGTGTGTGTGTGTGTGAGTGTGTCTGTATTATATATTTATATTTATGCTGTGAATATATCTGTGTACGGCTTGGTGGTGGAAAACAGATGTTTGCTGATTCGACAAGTTTGCACTACAGACTCAGCCCAATTTAGCTGACAAAAATGTGATGCCACACAGACGTTCGAGGTGACAACTCTCTCTTATTTTAAACTCTTTCGATTCTAGCTCTTGTTTATTTTTCTCGTTTTATCCCCTACTCTTTTCTGTTTGTTTGTTATCTCCTCCTCCAACACCAATCCAACTCGATGTGTCATTACACGGATTGCAGACAGACATACAGATATGAAACCTTAATTCTTAGACATTATGGGCCTAATGAAACAAAAAAAAATCAAAGTGTTTAATCATAATTACATCCTTTCAAAACAAATGACAAATAAAAATGTTTTTTGAATGCTTTTGGTAAAAAAAATAATACTTCCCAGCATGGTATTTCCTGTCCTCTAATTAAATGTACTCAAACTAAAAGTTGGATAATTCTAAGCTTTTCTGTGTAAGACTAGATTTGTGCAATTAAAGATTGCAACAATGATTATTTTTAACCAATTAACAATGCGACAGTAAAAGGGCTTAAAAGCTTTGTTTGTTTTTTACAGAAATTGAACGAGCCTAAATTATTCCACTTGATTTCTGCTTAGAGCATATTTACAGACAAAGAACACCTTTGATATTAAATACAAAATTTATATTTTTTGAAAGTTTTAACCATTTTACTGCTCTGTTAGGGGCCTTCAATAAGTAATGCCCCTGACCCACTTCCAGATGTTTGATTGAGCTGAAATTTTGCATGTGATGTTATTTAAATCTCTATAGATTAAGTACCAAATTACAGCTCTGAACTATTTATGGTTTCTGACTTACAGGTATTTGAACTGAGTAAAGTCTGAAATGGAGCCTTTTGAGTGTCGAGCAGTGATCCGGTTTTTCTCTTGGAAAGGACTCACACCACGGGAGACTTTTGATGAAATTAAAGTAACTTATGGTGATGATGCCCATTATATGACCTTGCAAAATGTTTTACAAGGTTATATTATGGGACATTATCACTATAAATTACTTAGATTTTTATCAAAAGTCTCCATTGTGTGAGTCCTTTTAAATGCAAAAACTCAGACTTGACTCAGTTTTAACACCAGTAAATCAGAAACCACAATCAGTTCAGAGCTGTAATTTTCTATTTAATCTATAGAGATTTAAAATACTTCACATGCAAATTTCAGCTCGATCGAACATCTGGAAGTGGGCCAGGGACATTACTTATTGAACGCCCCTCGTATGTTGGCCTCTAAGCAAATGGGATATTTTGAGTCTCAGTTTGAATATAATTAATTGTTTTAACACCATTTATTTTATGTTAAGCCTGCTTTTCTGTTCAAAGACCATAAAAAAATGACAACCACCAATGAGTTTGGCATTTATTGTAATGCGATGTGGCACTCATTACCATATCTCCTCAGCGTTTCTATTTTACAATGTACAAACTTGATAAAAAAGGACCATAAATAAACAAAACGCTTCAAGTAGCTAATCCTCAGCATCAAAGAGGCATACGTATATATAGACATGGATGAATGACATTCCAATCTAAATGTCTAAGTCAACAAAAGCACTATTTCATGAAATCCGAAATAAAACAAAATGACAAAAAACAATCATGTCAGCCTGTTTGTTAGAACACTTCACTGGTATGAAATCAGTAAGAGCCTGGAGTGATACATTCTGTCTGAGTCCTCCCACTATCTCTTAAACTTTGCATATTATCATTACACGAAAACAGCCGACATCTGAATGGGGAGAGTTCATGTTGAATGATTTCATGCTACGCATTGCACACACACACATCTTTACACAGACACACACATTCCTCTGAACAAATGAAAAGAAATACATTTAATTCAAGTGAAGCGCAAAAAAATAACTTGGAAGCCATTCTGCTTATGCACATGTCAGTCTTCAGCAAACAGATAAGAAAAAGGAGGAGAAATCAGAGCTAGAAAAAGAGGATGAGGCATCAGTCTGAGCTCAGCGCTAGCTGTGGCAACATCCAGATCAAGGTTTGTAGAAAGCTCCACAGGATGGAAGTTTATAAAAGTGCTCCTCATTGTAGGTTTCTTCTTATTTGCCTTCACTTCTTATACTTCCACTGGTGAACAGTTCCTCTAAAGTGCACAAATGAGGTAAATGAAATTCTTCTTAAAAACAGCTTTGTTGCTGCTCACCAGCTCAGACTGGCACCATAGAGTGTTGCATGTGTTGCATTTGGGACAACATTTCCTGCTGCACACTTGCAATTAGTATGTCCTGATGTGATGGTGTGATTATTCCAAGTCTGTCCATCTCCCTGTGGAAAAACAAACAGATATGATTGCAAGAAGTCTTGTCTGCAGTTTGTCACACAGCAGGCAAGGGGTTCAAAAATGTGGGTTTGAAGAAACTCCAGCGAAATTAGATCAAAACTAAACTGTTTAAAAAGTAGAAAACTAATCCTGACTATGGCACCGGTAACATGAGCCTTACCATGACACCTCGAGCTGTCAACATCATGCTGTGAGAATGAATAATAAGGAATGAATGGTTAAGGGTATAGAGTCGAATTTCATTGGAAGATGGAAAGAGCCATTGGGCCTCTAATCTGCCTCTCAAATGTAAAATGATTCCAAATATATAGCAAAGGCTACAATGGAATTCGTCAAAATATATGTTTGTTAGAAAGGTCCAATCATGGTCCAGACCTACTCCTTCAAGCCATAAAACAATAATACTATGCTACTTTTTTGTTGATTAACCACACACACTCCAAACTAAATACTGAACATTTCATTATAATTCAAGTTTCAGCCTCTAGGGCTGGTTATACTCCCGCAGCAGTGTGTCGCAGTGAGCTGGTTGCAGGTATGTTGCAGATATTTTTGATTTATGCCCATTTTCGAAGCATGGTCTGCGCTATGTTATTCCACGCCACGAGGGACAATCACGAGCTAGCTGTGGGTCTAGATATGGCTGAGGCAGTGAGGAAGTGGAAAAACCCAGAGGCAAATTTGTGCGACAGCAGGGGAACCTAAGGGCAAAAAAGATCGGGAATCCAGGTGGAAAAAGGGTCCCAGCGTTCTCGCGCACCTCTCTCTTCTAGGTGGTTCAACTTCACGAGTCGTTTTCCACAATGGCGGTCATACAAACAAGACAAGCCGGTAAGGTACTAAACAGGAAATACGCATAGTGTAGAGCGGATTCTGAAAAAATTGGAAAAATACTCCACTGGACTTTGTTTTAAGGTTTGAAGACGTTTCGCTTCCCATCCAGGAAGCTTTCTCCCATCCTGCATGGGAAGCGAAACGTCTTCAAACCATGAAACAAAGTCCAGTGGATTGTTTTTTAAACTTTTTCAGAATGACTATGACCTGGATGACTGAGAATCTTCACCAGCATAGAGCGGATGTAGATTTGACCAATCAGATTCCTCCTGTCTGCAGCACTGTCTGTGGTCACCTACAATTTTGTAGAAGTGCACTAGAGTGTATGCGGAGGGGCATATCTGCGTTAACTGCGAAACACACATGCAGAGGACCTGGTTTCTGAGCCTAAACCAGACTTCTGTGTCTTTAAGTTGCATAAGGTCATTTTGGATAAGTAGCATCTTTCACATCAGGACTACATCAATGTGTAATGCAGATGAAGCAAGTTTACAATGAGCTGTACTTACTGGTGTGTAAGAGCCAGAAGGCTGTCAAGGCTGGAGTACCCTGCAGCTGCAAGGACATCTCTGTATCTCTCCAATCCTATGGACTGCAGCCAATTATACAGGGACCATTGTGGCACACACACCTCTGGTACAACAGACACACATACTTCTGATCCCACTCTGGACTCCAGTATGGTACCCTGAGGTCTGTAGAGGGAGAGAGAGGTTTGAAGAAATTCTTAAAGGTAATCGTGATAATTTGCGTGTGGAAGCTTGTGTACTGTAGCGTTATCTCAGTGTATGCTTGTTTACATCTGTATGTATTAATGTGAATTATGTACCTCTCCCCTCCTGTGCGGCGCAGGGTGCCAGGGTTCCGTATAAGTTTATCCAACATGTTGAGAATCTGGCTGAAGGAGGGTCTGTCTGCTCTCTCTCTCTCCCAACAGTCCAGCATGAGTTGGTGCAGCACCACAGGGCAGTCCATTGGTGCAGGCAGTCTATAGCCTTCCTCTATTGCTTTAATCACCTTTACAAAAAAAAAAAAAAGAGAGACGGATCAAATTTTTTTTCCATATTTCTTTCTAAATTCTAAAAATGACACCTTCTTCAAAATGATTGAACACTTTGAAAACAGCCACTAGAGATGCCAGCAGGCAGCAGTTTGATGCAGCTGGGCTTCAAGCTAAATGTTATGCAAATTTCAGCCAAATGGCAGCCCAAACATGCAGATGTTTTGTATGTTCTGCGTGTTTATATTTGCTTTGAGACATAAAGTAATTGCAAAAATTGCTATTTGCTTTAAGCTTTGATAGGCACCTAAAAGCCAGTCAGAAATCTGGCAAAAGGTTTGCTAATACAAGTAACATAGGCAACACATCCTATGATTACACAATTTAGTGAAAAAAAAATCCATGTGCTAAAGACAAAGAGATCATATAAGGTCTTCTAAGAGCCACATAAACCTCAGTCCTTCATCTTTGCACTACCTCTGTATATTGGAAATAGTGTTGACCTATAAGCCCAAATGTTCTGCAGCATGTAATTAAGCATGACAGTACTGCATCTTTTTTTTTTGTTGTGGCAAAAATTGCAAACAGTGTAAAAAAAAATGCAATTGACTATACAGTATAAATATATTTTTAAAATAAACCCATAAAGTAAAATGTAAAAAATGAATAAAAATTATCAGAAAACACGGGAAAAAAAATGAAAAACAAAAAGAAAGATAAACAGTAAAAGTAAAACTAAATGAAAAAGCATATAACCTGCATTTAAAACTACATCTAAAACAAAAGCAATCTCTAATAATCAAAATGTAAAGTATTGGTATAAAAAATAAACTGAAGTAAATCTAATAATAGTAAGTACATTTTATTTATACTAAAAAAACATGAGCAAGTTTTCTTTTGACAAGTGGGAAAGATTTATACTTTGTGCAACTCCTTGTCCACAGGCTTTACACTATTCTCCAATAAGGTACTAATTGTTTTTCTGCTTTAGTAGAGAACAATGAGCCAAACAAACTCCTCAGTTGATGGCTCCCAAGTGTGTGATTTCAGACGACAGTGTGCTCATGTTCTCAGATCAGAGACTGATGAGGCATGACAAGACAATATAATGAGTACCTCTGCCACAGGCTCACATAGGACAAACACAAGGATTATAAAAACATCCTAAAAGACAACACTAGACCAAGAACTGTGAATATAATGTACATCAAATCCCTTAAGATTTATTTTTCTAACAAACCTGTCTTCTAAGGTGATATATAATGAGGCTCAGATTGTTCTTCTGATCTGAAAGCAGTTTAAGAATAAGAAAAAATTAAGCTTATCGCATATAAATAAAGTTGCTGTTTGGCTGCAAGAAAAAGTAAAACTTTCCAACTTTAATATGTATTCCAAAATAATTACTGATTAGTGCATAGAAGGCAGAACAGACTTGGCCTCAACGCTGTTTGCAGATAATTTCAAAGTAATTTCTAAGTAAGTGCAGCATTCAAAGACAGCGTCCAGAATGCAGCGGATAGGGTGCAAGTTATTTGTCCCTCCATTATGCTAAAGAGGCAGCATCTGTTTAATTCATTTCGCTATTCAAATTGGCTCAGGCTAAATCCCTTTTGGTGAGCGAGGAGAGGTAAAGGTTTAATTGGACTGCCACAGAAAGTCACAAGACTTGAATCGTGTTTAGAAAATAGCTCATTTCAACATTAATCCTCAAGTGCCCAACGAAGGAGCAATTAACAGTTGCTGAAAAGCCAAAACTGATGGGTTGTGTTTTTTTTCTGGAACTAGCATCATAATTGTATATATTTATTGAACATCACATGTAGGTTAATTGTATTTGCATGAGGTCAAATCATTCGGTACTATCTGCCCGCATCAGGAAAACCTTCATGAGAGGGAAAGAAAAGCTGAGACACTGTAAACATGAGCCTGTGTGTTAAGGAAAACCATCTTATTATCTTGTCTGTTAGTTACTCACATCCTGGTTGTTCATGTCCCAGTAAGGCCTCTCTCCGTATGAAACCACCTCCCACATGACTATGCCATAACTCCACACGTCACTGGCTGTGGTGAACTTCCTGTAGCTGATAGCCTCTGGAGCCGTCCATCTGATGGGGATCTTCCCTCCAGGGGACAGATAGGACCCGGTTGCCTCCTAAAACAGTGGGATATACTTGATTCACTGGTTTGGTCATTTCTTTACTATGCCTTACTTGCTCATATTACTCTACTACAGCAGAAATGTAAATGTTTCATCAAAATGAAATTTATTCCTGCACAGATGTTTGGGGAGTGGCGGCCTAGTGGTTAGGGCATAGAGCTTGGAATCCTCAGCTTGGAAACTGCCACTCTAGATCTCTGAGTAAGACTCTTAACCCCACACTGCTCCCCGGGGTGCCTCATGATGGCAGCACACTGCTTCCCAAGGGGATGGGTTAAATGCGGAGGTAAATTTCTCCAATGTGAGATCAATAAAGTTAAATTATTATTTTGTTGATATTATGTTCGGAAAAGTTTTCAGCTTTAACACCATTTAAGTAAGCGTGATCCTGTGAGTGAAATTTGGTGGCCTGCAACAGCCTGTGAATATTTTCTTCAAAACCAAATATTTTTTATTATTTCAGAAATTATTCATTTAATACTTATTAGAGAAAAAAACACAGATAGAGCTCTTTGCAAATAAATCGATTTAAAAACGTTTTAACCACAAGCTTGTGTGTTTTAATTGCAACTATATGTGACAGACCAACACAGAGTAATATATAACCCCAAAGGTAAAGAAAAGGGATGCATTTTATCCACTATTTTTTCCAATAAAATAAATGCTTTTACTGAAGAAATCAGATGCAACCAGGGGTTTTGTGGGGTACAGCTTTTTCCTCAGACCTCTTGTTTTATTAGAGTGCATGAGTGAAAGAGAACAGCACCCTAATGGTGAAACAGGGGCTTGAAGTGAAAGTTGTTGGAATATGCAAAATAATTTACGATGAAGTTCACCTTCCACAAGGCCAATGTGCAAAATATGCAACCAGCTTTGCAATCGAACAGTATAAACAAAGCATGTATTAGAGAACAATGGGCAATAATTTCCATTATGTAGTGAGTAAACCTAAATTCAATCCTCCATACAGAATGGACATTTTTAGATTTTTATTAATTATTTTTTTTAATAGCAATGCTTTTTTCTACTTCAAAATCATGCACGTATTTGTTTTGGTCTATCATATGAAAACTCCCATAACATTTATGGAGGATACAGGTCTGTGGTTGTAATGGAGAATGTACAAAAAAGGTTAAAGGGGTGAATACGTTTTGGAAGGCACTGCATTTTGTTTATAATGAAGTGATTACCCTTGTAGTGTAGGCAGCCTCTGGGTCGTCCTCCAGAACTCGGCTCAGGCCAAAGTCAGACACTTTACACACCAAGTTGCTGTTGACCAGTATGTTCCGAGCTGCCAAGTCTCTGTGAACGTAGCTCATGTCTGACAGGTACTTCATACCCGAGGCGATGCCACGCAGCATGCCGACCAGCTGGATCACTGTGAACTGGCCGTCGTGTTTCTGAAGCATCAATATTAAAAGGTAAAAGAGGTCAGGTTAACTCACAAAATAGAAATATATCTTTGCATTTTGTTTAATTTTGTTTATCTTTTTTATCATCTTACTCGAAGAAAAGCATCCAGGGATCCATTTTCCATATATTCTGTTATAATCATCAGTGGTTTGCCTAAAACAGGGATTGAATTAGAAAAAAATATAAATAATACTTCACACTTTCATATTACACCAGAATAACAGTATAACTTACACCTTGTGACGACACCTTCCAGTCTGATGATGTTTGGGTGATCAAACTGTCCCATGATGGACGCTTCGGACAGGAAGTCCCTTCTCTGTTTGTCCGAGTATCCTGCCTTCAAGCTCTTGATGGCTACATAGATCTCCCTCTTGCCCTGCGCACGTAGCCTACCGCTGCACACCTCCCCAAACTCTCCTACACGTGCACAGAAAACAACTTTGTCAGCGCCAAGCAAGCATGTGTGTGTGGGCTTATGTGTGTTGAAGCGCCAAAGCAAGCCTTACCTATGCCAATAACCCTCTCGATATGAATATTTGTAACATCTATCTCTTTGGCAAACTCATGGATGGCCTGATCCGGGTCCTCGTAGGTAAACGGGTCCACATATATTTTGACTCCTGCGGTTCAGCAGAGGTGGGAGTGGACAGGAAAAGAGGGATGAAACAGAGGAATGCAGAGGAGGGTGAGAAAAACGAATTGTGTAACTGTATACATTATGTAAGAGTGTTTGGGAAAGTGTACAAAACTTGCGAAACAAAATCTGAGAGAAAAAAAACAGCATCAGCAGAGCTTTGTAAAAGTATTCACACCCCCAGACCTCTTTAATGTTTTCCTAAGTTACATCTACAAACTTTACATCAAGACTGATATGGAGAGAAGAGTTTCTTTTTTTCAGACTATATAAAGTCTAAGTTTGAACTTTGTAGCCAATAAATGTAAAGTTACATATGTGGGAAGAAAACCTACTCTGTATATTTCCCTGAACACAATAACATCCCTCAGGCTTTGGGGATATTTAACATAACTGGTTTGAGATGCTGTGAGCTAATAAAACATTGAGCCAAATATCTATCAATTGTAGAGGCTCAAGAAGAATTTAATCTAAAGTGTAGGTTTACCTTCAAGACAACAAAACAATTATGCCATCAAATCAGAGGTACAATGGAATTTTACTAATCAAGGGAAATTATGTTCCCCAATTGACCTGGAAGTTACTGTTCTCAAATGCTCTCTGGTCAATTTCTATTAGCTTCAACTTTTTTGTCAGGCGGAATTCACAAAACATTCACAGCCTTATCCTCTGAAGGTTTACGTGTCCTAAAACACATGCAAATGTGTTGGTAAGTGCAGAGCAGCTCTTCAAAGACGATGCAAAGTGGTTTGTGTTGCAATCCAGTAAAGAGTGTTTGCAGATATTCCTTTGAGTTTGTGCCCTTATTAATATGCAGACCGTCCCATGCAAATTCATGGGTGGAGGATATGCAAACGTAAACATTTATCGCGCACAAAGAGATTTTCTAAATCTCAATCTCATCTGTGGCTCGAGTTCTTCCATCTTTTTTAGTACTTCTGAAACGTCCACAGGCCAACCTATATTGATCCAGTTGGACGGCAGACTATATTTACATAACTAAACCAAAACGAAAAAGGCAGAACTGACCTTACAAATTGTGGCATGTTTATAAAAAAGCATAATATCAAAAAGAGTCTGGAAAGAGACACTGATGTTTTTTTTGTAAGTTTTTACCTTTGTTTGCAGCTCTTTATGATAGGCTGCACTATAAATATTATTCAGTATTATCATAATTTTTTTAATCTTTATCATTATAACCTCAAAGTACATGACTTAGAACCTCATCTTTATTTACAACTGACCTGAAACTGGCTGAAGAACAAGTAATCTTATCTATTTAATGAGTGGGACCAAATTGGTTAGACCATCTTAACATTTGTGGAGCAATTTGTGGGTACGTAACCAGGAACATGCTCACTTACTGGACATACTGCAAAAAATGCATGTGAAATTTACTTCTCCTTATTTGTGATCTTTGAAGATCAGGCCGTAAGTCTCTTGATATACAGAGCAGGTAGACACATTTCCTTAAACTTTGCAGTTTTTAATTACTACTGTACAAAGGACAGCATAAAAAGTATAAAAGTATAAAAAAAATAACAGCATGAAACTGATACTTGTGCTTTTTAGATGAACATATCTGTAAGGTAATTGTGTGTGTTAAGTACCTGGGTTCAGATGTTTCTCTTCTTCTGCATCCTGTTTAGTTTTACTGTACTTACTCCTCCTGAAGAAACAGGAACAAAGCAGACTTAGAACAAAGAAGCTCAGCAGACTAAATATCTGTTGACTTTGCATGCATCTGCTCATGTGACGTTAACTAATAAAAGTATGCATATCCTAAATTAGTTTTTGACTTTCTTTCATTTCTAAGGGCTTTTTCCTTAGTTGGGTTTTTAAGGAATTGCAGCAAACAGAATGCAACAACAATAAGAAGAGAGAGCGACTGCCTGCAGGGAAGTACCAGATGAAAGCATTTGAGGCGGATAGGGAGGAGGGGCAGTCCCTCAGGTAGTTACAGATATAAGGTGTTTTCTATTAAACAAAGAAAGTGTCAAAACCAACTTCATGCTGAAAAGGTTTGAGTTTGTGTATGTGGAAGACTGTAATTGTGGGCACTATCCAGTATTTGTGAGCGTGTAAAATGGTTAACACACAAAATGTGCAGCTGAAGACATTAATGGTAAACCTGGGACAAAGGGATTACCACTGTCTCCACTCTAATCCCCTTTAAAAAAGCTGCAGGTGATGTAGGTTATTTAATCTCACTACAGAAGGAGAACCCAGATTTGTTATTGTTATATAGCAAATTGGTTTTAAAGGCAGCGTTCAGAACGTTTTTTTTTTTTGTCAGAGATGCTTAGAGAAATTTTTAGTTAATTTTATGCAAACATTGTTTTTAAACCAAGGCCTATTCAAAGTGAATTTAAACTAACACAAATAAATTAAACTGAGAAAATGCCAGCCTGTGCAAGATAATTCTACTTTTACACCTCATTGCCCTTGTATCAGACACCTGTTTACTTGTTCGGTGGAATATTGTTCGTGTTACAGCATGTAATTGCGTGCACTGATGTCGCTGGGTGTATTCTCTTCAGTAATCTGCTGTGATTAGCTGTTCTAGCAGCCTAATCCCAAAAGAAGGTTACATTCATTGATTGTTACAGTGATAGAAACTGTTTTTTTTTTTTTTAAGAAATTAGAACAGCTTTATGAGTTAAAATATTAAAAGAAACAACGGTTGGTTAAAGACACAGAACAATACACGGCAGACTTTGCAACAAGAAAACAGAGGGAAAATAACAAGAAAAGAGAGACATGAACAGACAACATAAGTAAAAAAAGAAGCAGGAAGGGCATGATGGAAGAAATGACAAAATAAAGGAAGAACACAATGGATGAAAGAGAAACACAAGCAAAAATAAAACAATAAAGGAAATAAAGACGCAAGGAGGGGAAGTGGGAGAACCTTTAGACAACAGGATAAAGAATAAAGTGAAAGAAACAAATCCTTTTTAATCCCGTGTTTTTTTCCAGCAGTTATTTAGACCAACTGATATGCAAATCATAGTACATAATTCCAGACCTCCCCACATCTCTTATAAATCTAATGCACACACTAAGACTGATGTGAACAGTAAAGACGACTCCGACACCTCATAACATATACCAAATAACATAAAAAGAACAAAAACATTGCTTTGATTAAGGTGTGACCTTGTATGTCTGTATACCTTCGACTAATGATGAAGACAGCAGCAGATATGAGCAATAAGATTCCCACCCCGCTGACCGACAGCAGTAGGAAGGCTGAGTTCACACCTTCTCCAATCAACGGAAATGGATCTATGCGAAAAAGACGAGGATGTTATTAACTAAAAGCTGCTGATCAAATACTGCAGGACATTATTGGGTTATTACCTGAATTGGTGGAGAATTCAAATGGAGCACTATACTCTCCGTATCCTGCAGCTGTGCGAGCACGCACATGAAACACATACACAGTGAGTGGGTTGAGGCCCGCCACATCAACGCTACGTAGAAAGGTCCTCATTATGCGGTATGACCTCTCCCTCTGATCCTGATTAGACGAGACAAAAGGAGCAATCTCTTTCAAATGTCTGGCAGCAAGTCCATCTGCACCAGCAGTGAAACAAAAAACGGCATCCCAACATTTTGACATTCCCACAGCTGCCTCTGCTGCATTTACCTATGGGATAACTCACCTTTTCGTAGAACTTGACCTCGTACTCCAGGATGACCCCGTTTGGTCGATCAGGCTGTTGCCATGCCAACGACAAACTGTGCCTTGTTACGTCGGTGAGCTGGATGGATGAAACTGGAGAGGGAGCTGAGAGGCAAAGAAAGATAGGTAGAGATTAAACAGTGGCAGAGCTTGTTTTCTGGAACATGATCACGGAAATGGTAAAACGATAGTTTCAGCATTCTGGATACAGCTAAAATATATTCAATGAGTGTTTTTATCAAGGACCCTCTGAGACAGTGAACCTCATTCCTTTCTTTTCCTCTGAGACCTGCCTCATTCTACTCGTGCGTCTCTCCATTTCTCCATCATTTTGTCCGCATTCATGCTTTTTTGAGTCTGTTCACATGATATCCGACCATATGGCAGAGCAGGTTGGACTTGACACATCCCAGGCATGCTCTTGTGCTGTGCAGACACAGCAACTTATTTCCCCAAGGCACCTGAAACTATGCAGGTGTGTTGGTATCTAAGTGCCACAGTCAAGACTTGAAGCAATGACGCTTTAAATGTAACAGCATGCAAAAACAAAGAGAATAAAAAAAAAAGCTTGCACTAAAAGCTAATAAAGAGCATGTGCAAGAGACGCCACACAACAGCTGACTCTTTCACAAGTAAAATGAAACACTTCATAAAATGTGGGTGATTTTTGCAAGATTTTTTTCTTTTACATAAAGAGTCTCAGAAGAGCTTCAGCTCTGCTTATACTAATGCTGTTGCTCAATCATTTCCTAAGCATAATGATTTGTTTTTTCTTGTCTACATTTTCTATTTGTCTGGAAGTCAGTGATTTCTTTAATAGTTCGACATCATCTCCAGATCACACTTGTAATTATTTTAGTTATCTGCTGTAGGAGGAACAAGTAGTAACCAGGAAAGCTAAGATGTTGATAGAAATGAACTCTAGAGTAGATAGACTAGCTAATATGCAAAATAAATCTGGATCCATTGTGGATATCAAGGCTCTGCAATTGATGTCAACGCAAAGTGTGTTCCTAGTTTCTGCTGTCAACTGCCATGATCTGGTATGAACAGGGAGTTAAATTGTAGTAAAGTTGGATGCAATATGTTCCCTTTAGCGAAGCAACTTTGTATTAGCTGAACTTTTATACAGGTGTGAAAAAGAAAGTACATGTGGTATTGCATTTTGTTTAAGGTACCTTTATATATATATATATATATATATATATATATATATATAAACTCCTCCTCACCCACCGCGGGTGGTCTTCCTTTTTTCCTCCAAGCTCAGGTCCTCTATCAGAGGTCTTGGAGCTTGATGGTTCTACACAGTATCTTTGCAATTCCTAGAACTGCACATCTCGGCCGAGATGTCTGTTTTATTTCCAGGGATCTGCTGTAACCACGCTTTAAGTTTGGGGGGTCACTGCCCTGAGTGCCCCAATGACCACGGGTACCACTGATGCTTTGACCTTCCAGGTTTTCTCCAGCTCTTCTCTGAGCCCCTGGTATTTCTCTAGTTTCTCATGTTATTTTTTCCTGATGTTGTTGTCACTTGGTATTGCTATGTCAACCACAACGGCTTTCCTCTGCTTTTTGTCCGCCACCAAAATGTGCTGTTACTTTTCCATTACCATTTGGTCCGTCTGTATCTCGAAGTCCCACAGGATTTTGGCTCGGTCATTCTCTACCATCTTTGGAGTAGTTTCCCACTTTAACCTTAGGGTTTCCAGCCCATACTCTGCACAGATGTTCCTGTAAACTATTCCAGCCACTTGGTTATGGCGCTCCATACACCCGGCAGTTATATGCTGAATTGTCTCAGGGGCCTTTTTGCACCTGGGGTCTTGTCTGGTCTGGTAGATCTGGGCCTCTATTCCTCTGGTGCTGAGGGCCTGCTCCTGTGCAGCCATGATGAGGGCCTCTGTGCTGTCCATTAGTCCGGCTTTGTCTAGCCATTGGTAAGATTTCCTGATATCTGCCACTTTGGTAATATTTTGGTGGTAAATCCCGTGTATCCTCCCATGATGCGACCTCTAGCACCTCATCTCTGTTCCCCATTGTCTGAGACATTATCTTGATGTACTTATAGATCTTGGATGTTTCATCCTGGGTAGTGGCTCTTACGCTCATTACTATCCAGCATTAGAGATCCAAGATCCATCGATATATATATTATTTCAAAATTTACCAATGCATGCAAATTCATGTTGCAGTATAGAAAACTAATAATATGGATTATTTAATTTCTTCTATAAGCAAATCATGTCAGCTTAAATACAATGAATTAGCAATGATTGGTTATGTAATTTTCTTATATGCAATTTCTAATTTTTATATGCAATTTTTAAACACATTTCTTTTTTGGATTCAATTGAAAGGAAGAGAAAAAAGCTGAATTCCAGGCTTTTGGCCTTCTGTGTTGACTTGAAAATGACATATTAAAAGATAAGAACTTTAGAAAAAAGTAGCAGTAGCAGTAGTAGTAGCAGTAGCAGTAGTAGTAGTAGTAGTAGTAGAGATAGTATTACAAGTTGTTAATAATAGGATATCTGTTCTTATTTATATGAAAAGGTTGAACATTCTCAGATAAAAAAATAAATAAAAAAACCCTAAAACATTCAGTTTTTTAATGGGGATACAAACGTTGCTCGTTTCATGCTTCCCCAGCTTTGACCATTACTCAAGGGATCTTTCCTCCCTCAAGGCACGTGTGCAACGAGCAGCAGTTTGTGCTCAGGTGACCCATTTATGGAGCACATCGTTATAAGCACATTTTTTGTTGTTACTTGAGTCGACATTCTAACACATTTATTCCATACAGCACTTCTTCTCACCTGCTTGGTTAGTGGTGAGGCTGACCGATGCACTTTGTGATGCCCCTGCACCGCTGACCTGGGAGACCCCGTTGCGGGCATGGACAATAAAGGAGTAGTGTGTGTGGGCCCGAAGCTTGCTCACCACCACCCTGGTGGTCTGAAGACCAATTTGGTCCGGAGAGAAGTGCACATCCGAGCCGCAGGGGAGACAAAGCTGGTTGCTAGAGGCAGAGTCTGAGCCGGGCCAGGGGTATTCAATGGGTCTGCTTTGGAAAACCCCTCTGCCGACCTGGACCTCAGGTCCCACAATCCCCTGGTCTGACTGCATCCCCATGCTGCTGCGCTGGACCTCAGGCTGGGAAACTGTCCGATTCCTTGGAGGTTGACCATGGCTGCTGGTTTGACAGATGAGACACTCCAGACTATAACTGATGTCACTTCTTCCTCCCAGTCGCCGAGGAGGGGCCCACTCCAAGACCACCGATGTTTCATTCACCACTGAGATGAGCTGCTGTGGTGCTGAAGGAGGCTCTGGACAAAAACAAAACCAACCATATATAAAGCTTTGTCACATAGGAAAGGAAGAACAATAAGAAAGCAGAGAGGTATTTCAGATGGTAGTCCCTGGCTTGACATGGAGACATCTGGCATTACACTAAAAAAACCATATGGTTCTGGGATGTTTTTGATGGTTTGGTTGTTTTCTTTTTTGGTATTTAATGTTGTGTGTGTATATGAGAGAGACTTGTGTATAAGTGTGTTAATTTTTCCCAGGCTAAGGAAACCATGTGCTGTATATAGGCATAATTAAGTTTAAGACACACAGACCAACGTCTTCAAATCTCTCACACAGACTCAGAGTGAGAGAAGCAACATTTATTCTGTCCTCAATGCCTTTAGTTATCACTACCAGACAGGATGTAGATGGTGCCTTAGTCATAAGTAATGGAATCATGAAACAGGGGTGGCATTCACACACATTTGTGTCCCCTTCTGTTTTGAGGAGATAGAGAGTTTCGGAAACAATGAGCATGCTCTTCCTTTTTTATTTGGTGGAATTGCATGCAACCATATTCAATGTTTTGTCATATTAAGTGTTTGTGTGTCTGTGCTCTTACGGGTGCATGCCATGGAAGGAGGGTCAGCATCCGCACGGAAAAATCCGGTGTGACAGTCACATACATTAGCCCCGTCCCGGAGTGAGCGGCTGTGTGGAGGGCACTTGAAGCAGCCAGGATCTGAAGCCTTGGACTTGTAGAAACCAGCAGAACAAGCTGAAAAGTGATGAATAGAGAGTCACTTGAATTAGTGTCTCAAAAATATTGCTAATCAAGACAGTTAGAGAGATTGGTTGAGTGTAAAAAAATATTTTAGCTCACAAACTGATCTGATTTCAGTGTAAAAGTATTGCTTTTTTACCAACACCATTTGGACTGCAGGAAGTGCATGTCTTGTTTGAATGAATATCTGTAGGAATCAGCATGGAGTGTTTTCCTAGAACTAGAGCAGCTTCATACAAAAATAAAACCTTAAATGTCCATTTATGGTGCTTTGATAAGTATTTAGCTGTTTACAGATTTATTTTTTTGTTCTTTCACAGTACAAGCTTCTGCAATTAGATGCTGTGTAAGGAGAGCACAGAGCAACAGTTCTTCGTCATCCTTTAACTAGGCCTGCTGATAGAAGTTGTCCTAAAGTGATGTCCAGCACATCTAAAATAAAACTTAAACAATGCCACAGTTTTAATTTCCAGTGAAGCAGTTTTACTATTTAAAGAAAAGTAAAGACAGTTTTCAAATTAGAAAGGATCTGCAGTAACAGTATTTGACTCTGGCTTGCCAAGCTGCACCTCTCAGTTGACTCACCACTGACTATACTACTGCTGCCATAACACTCAAACTAGTGTCATCTGCTGTACTACTACTCTTGTACTTTAACTGTATTACTGCTGTATCACACTCATATTAGTTGTTGTACTGCTGTGGCTATAGTAGTCGTTCTGAAAATGCACTAAAAACACCACCTCGCTGGTCAAATGGGCACAAATATGCCTGTACTTCGAGTGGAAGATGAGGAGAGCCCACCTGCCCCAACCCATTCTCATGACCTTCTACAGAAGCACCATAGAGAGCGTTCTGACCAGCTGTCTCACTGTGTGGTGTGGAGGCTACAACGCCTCAGACTGGAAGAAGGCAAGGAGAGTAGTGGGAAGAGCAGAAAACAAAATTACATCCCAGATAAACGACATTACATCACAGCGCTGCGTGTCCCAAGCCTGTAAGATCATTCATGACCCCTCACACCCCCACCTTGGACTTTTCTCCCTGCTGCTCTCTGGGAAGAGGCTTCTGCAACAGTTTCTTCCCCACCACAATCAGACAACTGAACTGTTGAGAAAACTCTAAAATAATGTCACAGATTCTGCATCACACTGACAACACCAAACCAAAACAC